ACGGTCTTCCAAAAGTCCAGAGGCTTGGTCATCATATCACTTGCCCACTTGTAGGAAAGTCCACGCTTTCAGTCTTGATTCGTCTGATAACAATACGGTCTTCCAAAAGTCCAGAGGCTTGGTCATCATATCACTTGCCCACTTGTAGGAAAGTCCACGCTTTCAGTCTTGATTCGTCTGAGAACAATACGGTCTTCCAAAAGTCCAGAGGCTTGGTCATCATATCACTAGCCCACTTGTAGGAAAGTCCACGCTTTCAGTCTTGATTCGTCTGAGAACAATACGGTCTTCCAAAAGTCCACGCTTTCAGTCTGCAAGGGTACTTTGTAGCAGCGGGTTCTGCCAGGTGTATCACATCCGGACACCGTTACCCCTCCCCCCCTAATCAAAGTTAAATATTTTCCTACTCTACTGTTATTTGTTTAGGCGGATGAGATAAAATACTTAAAACCAGGCCGTTGACCATTGAACAAAGACAGGTGTTTGCACTACCATTACTAGTGAGTGACATTGTAAGTACGTTTATAAAAAACAAGATATTAAATCATGTAATACCGTATACTAAAATAATACAATAACAGTTAAAATGAATAATAAATAGCCTTAATTATGAGTAGCAGCCAAACTACCAAAAGCTTCTTTAGCCACTCTGACCTAGGTTATCAATTGGACCGATACCCTCGCTGATAGCAGTGTTTTCGGTCTTCAACCCAAGAACACTTGACGAGCGAAATTTCCAAGCAACTGAACATAATTGTAACATGAAAAGCTTCATGCCCTATGCCTATGACATTTTGCCGATGTAGTTATCACTATTTAAGAAATGTAATGTTATATATTAAATCAATCTCGTACAATAAGTGACTAAAATATTTATTGAGTTATTTCAATTTAATACCGTAAATTACTATACATTTAAACACACACAAACTTACGTCTTCTTTAGTACACGACAAGTCCTAGTTAGATGTCCACAGACCGACAACACAGACTGTGTAAATGTATAGAAACTAATGTATATGTTGTAGTTCTTTCTGTCTGTCTCAATCCACCATGGCATTTGAAAGTGATCTTGCTAAAGAAAGTCTGCCCAACTCGGATGGGAGTAGGGGTGGGGTGGGGATATGAATGAACAAACCAAAAGTGACCAGTTCTCACAATCGGTAGGAAGATTTAATAAACATGGAATTTGAGGAAAGTCAGATTTAGTTTTAAATTTTTGTGATGGAACTGAATAAAACATTCGCAATCAGCACATTAGAACTGTGGGCGCGTTACAAGAGTGACGGTCATATCCCACTATCCAATCTGACAAAAGTTGATGGTGGGTTGTGTTGACTAGCTGCTTTGTGTAAGAGCCCTGGTATATGAGGAAAAGGCTCATCAGAATTGGATATGGGTTGTGTTGACTAGCTGCTTTGCGTAAGAGCCCTGGTATACGAGGAAAAGGCTCATCAGAATTGGATATGGGTTGTGTTGACTAGCTGCTTTGCGTAAGAGCCCTGGTATATGAGGAAAAGGCTCATCAGAATTGGATATGGATTGTGTTGACTAGCTGCTTTGCGTAAGAGCCCTGGTATACAAGGAAAAGGCTCATCAGAATTGGATATGGTAGATGTAGAGTGGTTGACATATTATTACATATCATTCTTTGGTTTCACTCGTAGGTTCTCAGAATTACTAATGTAGTTTTCTCCCGTTGAAGAGTAGCTGTTTGACCCGATCCAAGAGAGAACAAGAAGATTCGACTGCTGGTTCGCCAGTTCTTCTGAGCGATAGTAAAGTTAATTCAAATAAAAATAATGATAGTAAATAATTGGTGTTAATAATAAATATATAAATAATGTATTGTCGTTAATTCTTACCCGCAATTCTGATTTTTAAATGACTTAAAAAAAAGATGGATAACAAAGCAATTCACTGACTTAATCTTGTTCACATCATAACAGTTGTTGTTAATGCAACTGATGATATAAATAGTGCTAGCCCACTATTACTTTTGTCGTATCCCAGCCGGCATGATGAGCCCTGGTATTTGGCAAAAGGCGTCGTGGACAATGGATGTGGTAGATATAGTGTGTTTTATATATTATTACATATTCTTCTTTGCATTCACGTTTATCCTTTATAATAATTGAAGCCTTGTACAGCGCCATCTAGTGCTTCTTATAACTCGAAAGAAAGGATGAATAATTTGTAATTGAATCTCCAACGTTTCGTGCAACTGATGGCTTGTTATCAGTGAGAGATTTCATTACTTCACGTCAGGTGAAAGTTATTTTTTCTACAACTATTTAAATCTAGAAAACATGCTGTTCATACAACTGTATTGCTTCCTGGTGATTCTTCGGTAAACTGGAGTGCTTATAATGCTAAAATTCGAGGTTCAATCCTTGTGATTGGTATAGCGCAGATATCCCATTGTGCAGCTTTGTGCTCAGTAGTAAAACAATAAACAAACAACTTCGTTACAAATAAGGAATTGTACCTGTATCTCTAGTAATGGAATGTTGGTGTGAAGTCGAACGTTAGTGGATTGTTTGTTTTGGAATTTCGCGCAAAGCTACACGAGGGCTATCTGCGCTAGCCGTCCCTAATTTAGCAGTG